GTGTATATATATATATATATATATATATATATATATATATATATATATATATATATATATACACTCATACCAAAACCAGAGAAAGACATATCAAGGAAACTACAGACCAATATTCCTATTGAACTTAGATGCAGAAATCCTTAATAAAACATTATCAAATTATATTCAACAACATATTAAGAGGAAAGTATATCCTGACCAAATTTTTTGTCAGTGATGCAAGAATGGTTTAACATATGCAAAGCTAGGTGTAATCCATCACATAAATAGAATTAAGGACAAAAATCACTTGGTCTTCTTAATAGATGCAGAAAAAACGTACAAATTTCAGCTCATGACAAAAACACTGAAGAAACTAGGGATAGAAGGAATCTACTTCCACATCATAAAGGCTCTATGTAAAAAACTGAAAGCCAACATTGTAGTGAATGTGGAAAAACTGAAAGCATTTCTTTTAAAATTTGGAACAAGACTGCTATCACCATTTCTATTTAATACAGTACCAGAAATTCTAGCCAGACCAGTTAGGCAATGGAAGGAAATAAAAGGGATAAAAATAGAAAAGGAAAAAGTCAAATTGTCATTGTTTGCAGATGATATGATCCTATACTTATAATACTGAAAAAAACTTCCCCCAAAGACTGCTCAAGCTAATAAAGAAATTCAGCAAAGTAGCAGGTTACAAAACCAACATACAAAAACCAGTTGCTTTCCTATATACTAATAATTAAAATGCTGAGAAAGAAATTAGGAAAATAATTCCATTTACAGTAGTCTCCAAAACAAAAACTAAGAATAAATCTAGCCAAGAAGGAGAAAGGCCTTTATAATGAAAACCTAGAGCACTGAGGAAAGAAATTAAAGAAGACAAAAGAAAGTGAATAGACCTTCCATGGTCATGAATAGGCAGAATTAATATTGTTAAAATGTTCATCCTACCAAAAGCAATATACAGATTCAATGCAGTCCCCATCAGATACCACTGATGTTCTTCGCAGAACCAGAAAAAAGTCTAGAAATAGAAACTAGAACTAGAATAAAATAGTATAGTCCCAGCTATACCACTTTATGGTATTTATCCTAATGAATTAAAGCCATCATGCTATAGTGATACCTGCATACCCATGTTTATAGCAGCACAATTCATATTAGCCAAACTGTAGAACTACTGTAGGTCAGCAGATGAATGGATAAAGAAATTGGGATATATATACACAGTGAATTTTATTCAGCCATGAAGAAGAATGAAATTGTCATTTGCAGGAAAACAATGGAACTTGAGATTAGGTTAAGCAAACCAAGCCAAACTCAGAAGGTCAAGGGTTGTATATTTTCTCTTATATGTGGAAGCTGGAGAGGAGAAAAGATAATAAAAGGGGTGGGGATGGGGAGGAATCAAAGAAAGATAAGTAGAGCAGGGGAACGAGCAGGTAAGGGAAAGGGGAAAAATATGAAAAGTAGGCCTATTAATAAGAATGACAAAAGATTTTCCAAAAACATTTCCAAACTAAAGAGAATACTTTCAATGCAAATATTTTAGCCCAACTAATCTCTCCTTGGCAAAATATTTAAAAATCCCAAGTGACAATAAAAGAAAGCTCACTCCAAATAACACTGGATAATTCATGTTATATCAGTTAGAATTTTCGTGATTGTTATATTTCTGTGATGATTTATTATAGTTTCATTGTTTTCTCTGAATACAGATCTATTAGGGATTTCTTTTCTGTATTGTGTTTGTTACCATTTCTTTTTTAACATATATATTGCCTTTAACTATATTTTGATTTTTTACTTAACCACCATCCTTACAAATGTAATGAGGAAAAATTATGAGAGTATAAATTACTCAACTATAAATTTTCTGTTATAGGAAAGTGTGTGGAAAACCTAATAAAGTTAGACTTGTGGCATCTGTAAATATGAAACACACAGTTGTCATTGTTTAGAATATGCTACTTAGAGAGCCATTTTCTCTATTTGTAGAAGACATGGGATATAATGATGTGGCTTCCAAAGTGGCAGGAGTATCTTGCCTTCCATGTCATGCATAAGTTTACATTCCTTACTGTGGTAGACAAACCAAGGTCTGGGCTCCCACTTTCAGGCCACTTGTCAGCATAACAAGAAGGTTTCTTATTTTATGATCTCAAGATAGATGCATATTAACTAAGTAAATGACAATTATGAAATCAGAATATCTATTCATTAATTTACAATTAAAAACCCATTGTTGGGCTGGGGTTGTAGTTCAGTGGTAGAGCCCTTGCCTAGCAAGTGTGAGGCACTGAGTTTGATTCTCAGCACCACATATAAATAAATAAAGGTCCATTGATAAATAAATACACAAATGCGCGTGTGCATGTGCACACACTTGAAAACCATTGTCAAAGTTGGAAAAACACAAAACTAGAACATATTTTTCTTATAGCCAGACTGGATCATAACTGAAATTGAACATATATTCAGCTGCTGCTATCTAAATACTCAGTCTGCTGTCAAACTCTTGCTTCATTCATATCTACTTAGATAAGAATCTGTTCATTCCTTTAATCAACACTGTCACATGCCTGCAGTGTTTTACATTTTATGCTAATTGGAAGGATATAATGATAAGTAAAAGTGAACACAATCTCTCCCTGGGAAGATTATATGTCAGAGATGAGAACTGATACTAATCAAACTAGTATACAAATAAATGTGAATTATAGCTGTATTAAATACTATAGAAGAGACCGGTAAAGCCATAATAACAAATAGTGGATGGATGTGATCAACTGTGTTGGTCAGCAAAAGTTTCAAATTGAGGATTGAGTTGAGGTTAAAGAATAAGTAGGAATTATGAGTTCAGTGCATAGCAGGAAGACTTTCTAGGCAAAGGGGAAACATTTGCAAAGAGCTCTGAAAGAAGGTACTTGGTGTGTAAGAAATTGTTAAGGCTATGTGGTATGGAGCAGAGGAAGATAGGCACAGATCCTGTGGCACCTTATGGGTACTGTGGATTATAGAAAGTTGGGGAAGTTCTAGAAATGTTTGAAGCCCTTGAGAATGAAATGATTCAGATTTATGTGAAAGAATTCTAGGTGCTGTATGAACAGATTAGAGGAGGCCAATAGTAGATTCTGGGAGAGGACAAAAGGGAAATTAGAAGGACTTTAGAGATTTCCAGTTTGGGGAAGATGATATTTATTAAAGACAGTTGAATAGTAAGTAAGATACTTACTTTCTTTAGTTCTGTACACTTTTCTGTAGTTATTGTCTTTGCTGTATATTTTCTTACTAGTTAAGGCATTCTTTTGCATAATACTGAAAAACCGATGTAAAATGATCAGGTTATCTTAGCTAATAGAATAAGTGATCGTTGTTTTCATGTATTTGCACTGAGGACTTAATGTTTACTTTTCAAATTTATTGTTTCAGAAGTTCATTTTTAGCAAATGACATTTTAAGGGATTAACATCTTTTGTGTATTAACTGAATGTTTAAAGGTAATTGGTTATGACAATCATGATTATTTTTAAAAATATAGTTGGATTAAATTATTTCTATGTTTACATCCATAGACTTCTTAGAACTGATTTTTTTTTTCTCTTTGTAGGCTGATATTGCACCATTGATGGCTTCTCTTATTGGAGTTCCCTTTCCCCTTAATTCAGTGGTAGGAAATAAAATTTTATTATCAATACTGAGCATTTTAAAAATTGCACAGTAAAATTTACTCTTCTGTATTTTTTATAATCTTTATTTTTTCCAAATTTGTAATAATTGTACATAATATTAGGATTTGTTACACATTTGTAGACACACAATATAACCATATAATATTACCAATATCATTCCCCAGTATTTTCCATTTGTGTAATCTTTAATTAGATTTTAAAACTGTGCATTTTTATATATTTATTTCTAAACATGTAATACTTTACAATTGTGTGTTTATAGTATTTTATAACATGAAGGACACACTCAATAGCTTTAACATTTTTCATATTCTAAAATACATATGATTTATATCTGTGTACTCTAGTTACAAGTGATAAAAATATATGAATAACTTTTTGGTAATAAGCAGCAGAGATTGAGTCCGTTTAAAAGGAAATTTTTAAAAAGGTATTGATGGCTTACTGAATCGCAGGGATGCTCAAACACCAGGCTTTAAAATTACTGAGAACCAAGGGAGCTCTGGAGACTTACAAAAAGGAACCACAACCACAGTCCCATGGCAGGACTGTTCTGCTTATGGTACCAATACTAGAGGAAGGTAGAGAATGGGTAGCATTATACCTGTTTTAGTTTCTGTTGCTTGATGCTCAAGAGTTGAATTACACATGATCTGGCCCAAGTTATTTGCCTAATTCTTGAGTTTCCCCACTGATTATAGAACCACCATGTTATATCCCTTGAGGAAAATTACTTAGTAATACTTAAGTAATTTTAATTTAATTACTTAATAATGCTGTTATTAATGTGCATGTATGTTGAAAAGCCAAAAAGAAACCAAGAATACTCATTCCATTTACTTTTATTAGCTCTAAAAAATCAAATTTACTTTAAAAATAATGTCATATAACTCAAAACTCTTGAGTAATATGACCCTGACAGTCATGAGTGTGTCAATGTATATAAATGAAATAAAATTGTATAAAACAGTCTTTACTTCTAAAATGTACGGTATACTCTGGTATGTCTTATTATTTTTAAGTATGCAAGCTGTGGCCCACCATATTGATTTATTTTTGTGTATAAGACATTTAATTCACTGCCTAGCGTATAGTAATTGTATTAGTCTTCTTTTTTTCATTCTAACAAATACCTGAGGTAGTCAGTCTATAAAGAGAAAACATTTATATTGTCTCAAATTTATATTAATTAATTAATTTTCTTTCTTGTTTTATGTATTTTTTTGACTTCCAGTTTTAGAGGTTTCAGTCCATGGTGGTATAATAGTAGAAATACATGGCAGAGCAAAATGTTTCCACGTGGCCAGGAAACAAAAAGAGGAAGGAGGGGCTGGGGTTGTGGCTCAGAGCTAGAGTGCTTGTCTAGCACATGCAGGGTGCTGGGTTTGATCCTCAGCACCACATAAAAATAAAATAAAAGTATTGTGTCCAACTACAACTAAAACAAAATATTTGAAAAAGAGAGAGAGGAAGGGAAAGACTGAGGTATCACAATCCTCTTTTGAGATTATACCCCCAGTAAATCCAAAGACCCTCCACTAGACCCCACCTTTAAACGTTTTTATCACCTCCCAATAGCATCAGGGACCAAGCATTTAAAACATGGGCCTTTAGGAGACATTTAGGATCTAAACCATAGCAGTAATAACTTAGTGTTAGGTTATATTGACTTTAATTCAATAATTTGTGAGAAAAATAACACGTAATTTGTGAGAAAAATAACAACATATTTTGATTATGGTTTTATAAAAGATTCTTCATTAGTGATTTATTTGACTGTATATCTTGTCTATATTTGCTTCCCTCTTAAGTCTGTTTTGTTTTATAAGAATAGCCTGAGTTTTACTAATACTAATATTAAGCCTATATTTATTATTTGCAGGGAATCCTTCCTGTGGAATATCTTAATAATACTGATCTCTTCAAAGCAGAAAGCATGTTTACAAATGCAGTACAGATTCTTGAACAGTTCAAGGTAAAAAAAAAAAAAAGACATAAAAATGCATAATACTGTTATTTAAAAATTGAACATATTAAGTGAGGTGTTTCATGTTTTAAATATTTCCTACAACTCATTATCTTTAAATTTTCTGTATTTGCCTAGTGTCATTTCTGAGGTGCCGGTTCCATGAGTCAAAGGGTGTAGAATTGCCTTTGAGGAGTGTCCCTAATTATAAATTACCAGCTACACTTGTAACAACTACAAGTTGATCTTTATGACTAGAATTTGCCCCACAGAAGTAGTATTAAAGATGTAACATTTCTTGTCATTTCACATACATTGTTAGATACCTTACAACCTAATGAAGTGATTCAGATTAAAACTTTGGCAGGTTTTGTTTTCAAAAAGTTAATAAATACAATTTTAATTACATTACAGCATATTATGTTTTCAGGATTAATATGATTCTCAGCATATTGAGATAGTAAGATAGTGTCAAATTTTTTAAAATATGCATGAAACAATATAGTAACACAAAATTCCAATTATTTCAAAGTAGTTAACCATCTCTAAAGAACCATTTTAATGGATATTTGTATTTCAAATGAAATTAGTTAATTTTTTAATATTTATAATGTAATAAAATATTTTTGTGCTTGGTTCCCAGGTGAAAATGACTCAGAAAAAAGAAGCTACTTTACCATTTTTGTTTACACCATTTAAGTAAGTCCCTTTTTTAAAATTAGCTGAGTTTGATGTTGATAGGATAGATTAGTTTACTTATGAACTTTGTCTTTTTGTGTATATTAGTGCAAACTCCTTTAAATTCCTTTCTTTTACTTTTGTTAAATAATAATCCAGATGCTTAGATACGTTTGAATGTCTAGAAGAGGGGATGGGGAAATAGAGCGATAGATGAGGAATTTTAAGGAGATGACGTCAATTGGGCTTGCCTAGTTGATTGGGAAGGTGTTGGATCAGTAAGAAAGAGGAGAGGGAGTCACTTCCTGGCTCTTGGCCTGCTTAATTGAGAAGATGCTGATACCATTATGGTTTATAGAAGAAAGAGCTGATTTGAGGAGCAAGGATTAATATTATTAGTTTGATTACATCATTTAATTCCTTAGAAATGAGGGTTTGGATCTCAGGAGATGTGGATTGTTTTTGAAGACTTTGTAGCTGTCGGAATGAAGATGGTGGTGAAAATTGTTAAACATGTAGGAAGCTCTAGGGAGAATATAGAAAATGACAATAAAAGGTGAAGGTTTGCATTCTGAGAAATTTCTACCATGTGACAAAGAAGATAGCCCACTTTGGTGGCACCAGATTTCATTTTCTTAGATCCCAGGAAAACATGTTTTCCTTGAATCAGCAATGGGCAGTTTCCGAGTCACAGATCTTGTTTGGTACTACTGACTATAGGTGCACGCTTGGCAGGTTTACTGAACATTCTGAGGTTCACATTCAGTTATCAATGATTTTGCTAATGACTAAATAACATTGAAATTTTTCCATTTATGAGTCTTGGGGATGTAATTGAATGACATTTTTGGAATTGTTTTGGACAACTTATATACACTAGTGTTTTCTTCATAATCTAGAAAGAAATGTTGTATTGCCTTCACAATAATGTGCTTGTATACTTGCATGTGTGTGTGTGTATGTATGTATGTGTATACATATGGATGTATAGAAGAGTAAACATAAAGCAAAATTAGGACTTTGCAATATCATTAGTATATTATAGCATATACATCTGTTATGCTGATTTGAATTTTCTTTTTTTTTATAGTAGAGTTGAAATTTGTTAATGGAATTGATTCTGAGGAATATGTGTTTATCCCTTTCTCTTAGAAAACATTTATTCATTTACTACTATGTGTATTGTAGACGTAGCAGTGAACAGGATAGGCAAAGGCTTTACCTTCGTAGAGTTTTCTACACTGTAGCAGTACATACAGACCATAACAAAATAAACAACAGAACAAGAAATACATTATCAATTCCTGCATGAAGAAAACGCATTGAATGCTGAGAGTGAGAATACTTGAGGGTTACTTTAGTTCAGCCACCTTAGAAAGGCTAGTCGGGGAAGCATTCTTTATACACACTATCTTCCTTCTTCTGCTTGGCTGCCAGGATGATCCTAAACTTCGCCTACATTGATGTTCAACCTCTGCCTGAACATTGCTGTACATAGTTAGAATCATTGCTAACTTTTTGTCATCTACTGCATGGCCCAACTACTGGCTCACCCATCCTTGAGCAAAGTGACTAGCCCTGCCTACAGATTTTTTTCTGGCAAAAAATTCGCCACTTGTTAATGGCCTGCAATATTAGCAGAAAACCCTAAGAAATAATGAAAAACTAACTCTTCAAGATATATAATTCAATGAAGAGAACCTAAAGGTATTAAAATACTCAAATAGTTAAGAAACTATTATGTCCATAAAAACAAGCATGAACTTTACAAGATGAAAAAGAATATAGAATGCATTAAAAAAAAATAAGGATGGGAAATGCAACTAAAAACTTTTAGAAAATTTAAATCTTTCTTTGATGGTGCAGATGGAAGGCAGATCCTCTAAATTAGAATAGGAACTGAGTAGGCCTGAAGCTAAATGAAATGTATTTTAAGTAATAGATGGATTGAGCAAAAAGGAGGGGGAGATTAGCAACAGGTTGGTTGCATGGGAAGAATACACTTCTTAATTCCCCACTCTTTTTAAAAACAGCAGTGACAGAAATTTTATGGGAAAATGAAATATTTCAAACTAGAAAAAAAGTAAGCATGTTTCAAATATGAAGCACTCTAGGTTGTGCCATGATTTTGAGCAATTGCTGTTAGTAGGACAAAGGGAATTCCACCTTGCTTATGGGTGAAGCCTTTTAAGAAATAAATGAGAAAAATCTAATCACAGCATAAAACTTTGCTATTCACTTAATTGTATTTAAATATTAGTCATACTAATGTACATATTGGTTTTCAGCTTTCAGAGTGGATCTTTAGTTAAAGCATGGAAGAAATGATTACAGAATAGAATGCAAATGTTAGCAACCTTGACAATATACAAAGGCAGTTAAAAGTTTGGGAGGCAGAGGGGAAAAGAAATGTACGCAAAGTGACAGTGGTGCTAGCATCCTCATAAATCAGCAAGTGGAGAATTCTTCCTGTGATTAAGAGAATAAAATACAGGTTTTAATATTATTAAAGTAACCAAGATAACCAACAAGTAGGTTAAAATGGTGAGATGGCTTTGTTGAGAGAGGAGAAAGGCTGGAAATAGTCAGGAGTCAACAGAAAGTGCCTCAGGTCAACAAGCAAAGAAATACTAAGGAAAACTTATGAGAAAAGTATTGTTAACTACCAGAATAACTAAATATAAACACATGTGGAAAGTTTTGTGTCCAGTTTGGCAAATTGAGAAATGAGAAGAATGAAGCAGGAATTTATTGATTGATTGTCATGGTGCCCTTTTGAACTGTTTGATTTTTAAAATTATATGCATATATTGCTTTGATAATGCTTTTTCTAACTTTTTTTAAAAAATTAGAGATTTATAGTTATATGTAATAGTTGGGTTCATCCCAACAAACTCATACACACCTGGAAATTAATATCAGTTCATGATCTCCCTCCTTTTCCTTCCCAACCTCCTTTCCCTCTCCCATTGTCCTTCCTATACTCTACTTGACTTCCGTTCGCTCCTCTATTAATTTATATTTGATTAGTTCTTTGTATTATCCTGTCCCTCCCTCCCCCTTTCCTTTATTTTAATCTAGCTTTCACATTTAAGAGAAAATATTTAATCTTTGACTTTCTGTTTGGCTTATTTTGCTTAGTATGATATTCTCCATTTCTATCCGTTTACTGGCAAATGCTATAATTTTATTCTTTTCTGAATGAAGTGGCTGAGCAGAACTCCATTTTGTGTGTGCATGTGTGTGTGTGTGTGTATCATAGTTTCATAATTCATTTATCTATTGACAGGTATCCAGGTTGATTCCATAATTTAGCTATTGTGGATTGTGCTGTTATGAACATTGAGGTGACTATCACTGTAGTGTGCCAATTTTAGCTCTTCTAGGAAAATACCAAACAGTGGGATAGCTGGGTCATTTGGTGATTTTATCCCTATTCATTTGAGGAATCTCCATATTGCTCTCCAGATGGTTGTACTAGTCTGCAGTCTTACCAACAGTGTACAAGTGTACTTTTTCTCACACAACCTCATCAGCATTTATTGTTGTTCATATTCTTAATCATTGCCATGCTGACTGGAGTGAGACGAAATCTTAGTGTGGTTTTCATTTGCATTTCCCTGATTCCTAAAAATGGTGAACATTTTTCCATATTTTTGTCGGCTGTTTGTGTTTCTTTTGAGAATGTTCTATTTAATTCTTTTGCCATTTATTGTTTGGGTTATTTATGTTTTTAGTGTTAAGTTTTTTGAGTTCTTTGAATATTCTAGATATTAATTTCCTATTGGAAGAGTAGCTAACCAAGATTTTCTCCCATTTTATAGGCTTTCTTTTCACACTCTTAATCATATCCTTTGCTGTACAGAAGCTTTTTAGTTTGATGGCATCCCATCTATTGATTCTTGGTTTTACTTCTTGTGCTTTGGGGAAGTCAGTTAAGGAAATCAGAACTAGCACCTGTATGATGGAGTGTTGACCCTCTGTTGTCTTCTAGCATTTGCCATTTCTAATCTAATTACTAAGTCTTTGATAGATTTTGATTTGAGTTTTGTGCATTGTGAGGGAGAGAGATCTAATTTCATTTTTCTACATATAGTTTCCCAGTTTTCCTAGCATGATTTGTTTAAAAAGCTATATTTTCTCCAAGATATATTTTTGGCACTTTTGTCAAATATCAGATGGCTGTAGTAGGTATGTGGATTTGTCTCTGTGTTTTCTATTCTGTTCAACTGGTTGTCTTGCCTATTTTTAAAATTTTTTTTATTTGTCCTTTTTAGTTATACATGATAGTAGAATGTATTTTGACATAATGTATGTACATGGAGTATAACTTCCCATTTTTGTAGTTGTATATGATGTGGAGTAACAGTGGTCGTGTGTTCATGTATGAACAAAAGAAAGTTAAGTCCAATTCATTATACTGTTTTTCCCATTCCCAATCCCTTTCCCTTACTCTGACTTTGTCAAGTAAATGTGGGCCCAGAAATAAACAAGATGAAGTGATACTGTTGTGACACATTCTTTCAGAAAAACAACACATGTTCTTGTCACAAACCATTGTGTAAAGAAATCTTTTCTTCTTGAATGAATACTGTACTTCTTTTTATTTGTTTTTGCAGTGCTGGGGATAGAATTCAGGACTCTATGAATGCTAAGCAAGCACTCTTTTATTGGATATCTACATCCCCAGCCCACCCATACTTCTTTTTGTTCTTAGAAAATTGCTGTTCTTTCATCTGTTCTTTTTTAAAAAAATATTTATTTTTTAGTTGTAATTGGACACATTACCTTTATTTTATTTATTGTTATGTGGTGCTGAGGATCAAACCCAGGGCCTCGCACATGCTAGGCGAGCGCTGTACGCACAACCCCAGCCCTCATCTGTTCTTAAATTTAAGAAAATTTGTCTTACAATATTAACATCCGAAATTGGTTTTACTTACATGATTAATTTTATCAGCATTACTAGATTTTAGTGTAATAGTATTTCTGCTATTACCTTGTTTGGTCCTTTCTAGCAT